GCGGCTTTAAAGAGAAAAACTGATATCTCTTTGTAAGCAGCCAAGGTGAAGAATCCTGCTGAGTCACTTTCTTTGCACACACAGCTCTCGTTGATTGCACTCACTCCCAGGTCTACTTCCAAAACCCTGGTTTTTAAATGTCCCTGATGAAACTGGCTCCCAATGCAGGCAGGACTTGTTCCCTATTGAAGCAACACTAATCTATAACTGGTTGAGGGTGGAAGAAGAAAGAGACAGGTTGATATCTTCATAGCATTTTTCCACTAACTTAAAAATTTCCCCCTGATGCATTGATCAGTATGTAAGGTATCATCCAAAAATTAGAAATGTGCCTTGGATTATGAAATTAGAAAAATAAAAATAGATAGCTGTATTTCACTTGCAGAGATTAAAGGCCAGAGCAGAAGGGATTTCCCAATAAATCAGGCCTTGGCTTATCTTTCATCATTACGTACTGTAGAGAAGAAACTCTCGGGAGAGGCTCAGGGCACATGAAACATTTCCCGCCTATAAAAAGAAAAAGAAAGAAACAAAGAAAAGGAGAGTTAATTGCACTGAGGCTATTTCCTCTAACCAAATCATTCAACGGATTTTTTTTTAATTATAAAATATTTTTTACCACAAATAGAAAATAAGACTCATTGGAATGAGCAGCAGACTAGAAATGTAGATATTCTTTGTCCTAATTCAGGATTTGCAGCCCTGACGCAAATCAGATCTCAGTTTCCTCATTGACAAATGACTTATTACCACCCTTACCAGGGGAGATAGCAAAATAAATGAAAATAAACTTTAAAAAAAAGTCCTCAAATCCTAAAGCATGCAACACCATGTGATTGCAGGGTGTTGTTATTTTGGTATCTTTTATTATTAAACTTAATAATGGACTATAAAAACCCTAGTAAAATTTTTTTTTTTCTCCGTGCTCAGGACTTCCTCAAATCTACAAAGTTAGTAGGAGGGAGGCAAAGAAAGAACTCCACCTGAAATATTCCCATTGCATAGTAATGAATTCTCCCTGTAGCCTTGGGCTATACGTAGTCAAAAATAAATAGGGCTTTCCGGACAAACCTGGGGAACAGAACCCGTGTGTGTGGGCTGCCATTCCTTCTGGGTGTCGATGATGATGAACCAATGGGACTATATTCCTTTCTGGTTATTTTATTTTTATATATTAAAAAATTCCTTTTTAGTGACAAAAGCAATAACAAGCACATTATAAAACTTATGAGAAATAGAAAAATGACGCTCCACTGAAACCTAGGCACTCCAAGCACTCTGGATAACATACAGTCTTTACAAAGTTATAATCNCAATAGATGGAAAAGACATAGGGGTATTCCAGGCTGAAGAAACAGCATAAGCACAGACATGGAGGGGTGACACTACATAGCGTGTCCAAATGTGAAAGCATTTGCTCTATGAAAGAAGTAACAGGAGATAAGGCTGGACCAGCAGACTCAGGGCATGTTGTAGAAAGTTGAGGACACCATGGTCAGAAAACTGGTCTTTACTTTGTGGGTAACAGATGATCAGTGAAGGTTCATGGGAGGAAAATGATTTGGCAATCAGGAGTTCACTACTGACCTTTCAGGGACCAGTTCCAGCGAAGTTGTGAGGACAGAACCAAAATTCACAGGAGGGCAGAGTGACGGGAAGGAAGAGGAGGCTTCTTTATCAAAAGTAAAGCAAATACCACCTACTCCCTTAACAGGTTAATTTTCTCTTTGATACTAAATGTTAGAGAGATTAGAAAAGCAATGAAGCTAAGGTCATATGGACCTTTCAAAGCTCAAAAGGTAACTCGTAATGTGAAAGGTCCTTAAATGTACCAGACCAAATGAGCTAAGCCAGGTGATTCTGCATCAAAGCTTTTATCACTCACCTCACTTCCCAGACAACAAAAACTATGCACCCAGCCTGAGGTCTGGCCTCACCCCAAAGATGCTGTCATTGTCTTCTCCGTAGCTGTGATGGGGACCCTCCTCTTACTGTATCATCAGTCTTGTCCTTACAGTGCAAATAAAGTGCTGCAGGGGGGCGGGGGTGAGCAGGGATGGAGGGGAGGGGATAAAGCTGCGCTCTCACAGCTGAATCTGCCCCGCTAGAGGAGCCATCATGTCCGGAGAGCCTAGTCATCCTTGCCTGAATGCCGGCAAGTCATGCTTAGAATTTGAGTCAGGAAGTGGGAGTGGAGTCTTGTAAAGTCAGGTTACAAATGCGGACAAGACTGTCTTCTCTGGAAAAGCAATCCTGGGTATTTTTTTTTCTTTGGTTTAGGGCATAGGAGCTTTTTCATCTTTTCCTAATGGTCTCTTAGTTAAGTCCTCAGATCATAAAGCAATCTGTGAAAGGCCTTGGGTGAGGAGAGTCAAAATTTCTCCCTCTCAACAAGAATGTGCAGATATAAACATGCACTACACGTTCAGCAGCATCTCCGATGACACCTGAATGGCTGTCGCTGACCTTCAGTCAACTGTGCCACTGCTGGGGGGTGGGCAGCAGGTATGGCCGGAGCTCCTGCCAAGGAAGAACCCCTTACCTTTTGCTGATGCGGTACTCCACCGGTAACTGCTTTTCGCCTGATGCCACCACGGATCTCTGTAGCTGGTGGGGAGGACGTAAGAGAAAGTCCAAGTGGTTATGATGTGGAAGGAGAGGTTCTGTCATTTCCATACACACGCCCTTCTCTAAGCATAAACCTAACAATTTGCCAGTTCTGCCCTAATGAAAGGATATTTTGCACATGCTGCTGATTTAGTGATAGCTATGGATCTTGAAAATAAAAAAATAAGAAGGACGAAAAATCTCAGAGTTGAAAATAAACTTTAGCATCAAGTCTGTAGACAGTAAGCACTCCATAAAAGTCTGTTGAACTGAAACAAAGTGATATTTGGATCCCTTTTGCATTTGCAAGGCTGCGCGCTCTGTAAGAACAAGGGCTGTTTCGCATTCATCTTTGTAGCCCAGTGTCTAGATACAGGGCCTGCCCGATGGTAAGCCCTTACTATCTGTTGAATTAATTGAACACCTCCAACAACCGGAAACCTCTCCACCCTCAGAGGCAGCCTGCTCCTCCTGAACATGGCTAACAAAAGCCCTTCCTTACAGACCATCAAAATCTGCTTTGCTACAACTACCTTGATGGGGCTGGGAGAGGACCAAACAGGTTTGAAATCACTAATTCAACTGAAGGTCTCTATTTTGTTCTCAATGTCTGGACATAAAATTTACATTATTTTTAAATAAAGTGGCTTCTGATTGCAAAAGCACTACAGCAAGGAGAGAAAGGAAAATACTATTTAATTATACAATGATGCAACTACTTCTACTCTCATCAGAATGTCAGCTCCATGAGGGCAAGGACTTGGCCTTTTGTCAGTGCTGTATCCCCAGGGCCCAGAGAAGGCCTGGCAGGGAGTGGGCACTCAATACTGGGGAGGTGAGCGAATCAATGAATGAATGACCCAGACCTGGCATTTCACAGGCAGTCAGAGCAGAGCACGGGGCAATGAACTGCTCAAGACAGAAGCCCTTTCTCTTCCCTGAGGTTCCTGCTGCTACATCAGGTAGATGCCCTTGGAAAAGCCTCTTCCTTTCTTTGGGCCCATTACCCAGTTATAAAATGTAGCACGTGAACAGCACGTTCCTGGGAGTTCCTCTCAGCAATATCACTCTACAATATCAGGAAGCAGAAAGTCAGTAGGTGACTGATATCGCTTCTGTCCAGTCCTTCAGCGGGTGTTCCAGGCACCTTCTCCTGAGTCACTCATACAGGAGAGCAGGGAGATGCTGCCTCCTGTCCTTTCAGGACATCAGTGGTTTTTAAAAAATCTTAGGGCATCTCTGCTCCCTCTCCCCATTAGGTAGACACCTTGCACTTAATTCCTTTAGCAATTATTTATTGTACACTTACAAGTGTTGGTTGTTCTCTGTGCAAAGCATTGTGCTAGGCGTTAGAAATACAACATATAAAACCAGACGAAAGTCATGGGACCCTAATGGGCAAGTACAGGGTGCTATGGAAATACGGAGAAGGAGCATCTAGCCTGTTCTTATGAGAGGCAGGAAGTTTACCAGAATGCCCAAAAGACAACTGGGATCATACAGGTAAAAAGAGGCCAAAGGAAGAGCGATTCAGGCAGAGAGAGAGTATGCGTGCAGGCTAGTGAGAGCCTCGCTTGTTCGTGGAGATCCAAGTTGTTTAGTGAGCTGGGGTGTTAAGTACAAGGGAAACTTGCAGGGGTTGGCAGCAGCCAGGCCAAGGAGCTTTGTAATCATTCAAGAGCAAAAATGACCCATTAAATCGTTTAAGCAAGGGCTTGACATGGTCAGATTCGACCTTTTAGCAATTACTCTGGCTACAACGGGCACACTACGAGGCTAGGCATTTCAAGGACAACATATGATCCCAGTTAGTTTACAATCCAGTTGGGGAGATAGGGTGCTCACCCATGAAACTGTTAATGATACCAGACAACACAAAAATGACAGAATAAATGAAAGTATCAAACAATTGGTGACAAAGGCTTTGAGTTCAGAGGAGGGAGAGGTTATTGCATGTGGTCCCCAAAAAGTGCTCTGAAAAATAACGTTCCTACTGAAAGAACCAATGAAAGTGGGCCACAGTGGTCAGGGCTAGTGGGCCAAGGGAGGCGAGGGGTTTCAACTGAGTCTTTAAGGATGGATAGGATGTGGATGGAGGAGGAGTGACAAGAAAGCATTCATTGGAAAAGGGACAGTGAATAGGAAGCAGACAGATTCAACACAGGCCACTGAGGCATCTATGTTCAATTCCCATCAGGCAGCCACCACCATATAAGCCAGGGTTTATTCCTGGCAGAGCCAAAGACCAGACAAGGATCTGCAACCCCAGCAAGACACTTCTGGGGAAAGGGAGTGTAGCGAGGTCTGTACATGCCAAATAGACGACCTGGCCATGAGAGATTAAATGAACATCTCCAAGTGGGGCGCCTGTCCTGTTACTATAGTAACAGAGTTGTTCTAAGGAAAAAGTAGCTGCTGGCCAAATGCTTCAGCGGCTCACTGAGAAGCTGAAGCTACTGAAAATACATCGTTCCAATTCCCCAGTGAAGTGTAATAGTCTCAAAAACCTTCTGTACAAAGATTCTAGACTTCACTGCAGGGCCTTTTGGATGAAATGATTATTGCTACTCTTCTCCCCTCCAGTCCATTTTTGTTGTCAGAGTCTTCCTTAAAAATCTGCAGACCTGATCTTCCCACTGTTCTGTTTAAAACTGCCTGACAGCTCACCCTCTGCCTTCAGGATAAAATCCAAACTCCCCAGTGTGATATTTACAGCACTTCCTAATGGCCTCTGACCATGTAGCCTCATCTCCTACAACCCCACCCCATCCCTGACACAGTTCAGCTGCCGAGCTCCCTCCCATTGTGAATACACTGCACCTCTGCCCTTTCTTGCACAGATTGTTTTGTCTTCCTGGAATACAGTTGGCCACCTTGTCACGTTGATGAATTTCACACCCACGGGGAATCCTGCTCTGTTTCTTCTTTCTCCATCTGTTCCTCACCCAACTGCCTTTCTCACAGAGGAAGGGTCACTTTTTTAAAAAGATTTTTATTAAAAATGTAGCTATTGTATGTTAATACAATATTATATTAGTTTCAGGGGTACACCATAGTTATTCAACATTTATATACCTCAAGAAGTCATGACCATGATAAGCCCAGCAACCATCTGACACTGTACCACGCTATCACAACATTATTGACCCTACTCCCCATACTGTACAATTACATCCCATGACTTTTTTTATACCTGGAAATTTGGACCTCTTATTCCCCTTCCACTCCCCCCCCCTTTTTTAATTTATCAATCACAGTTGACATTCAATATTATTTTATATTAATTTCAGGTGTACACCATAGTGGTTAGACATTTATGTAATTTAAGAAGTGATCTCCCTGACTAGTCAAGTACCCACCTGGCACTATGCATAGTTATTACCATATTATTGACTATATTCCCTATGCTGTACTTTACATCCCCATGACTACTTTATAACTACCAATTTGTACTTCTTGATCCCTTCACCTTTTTCACCCTGCCCCCCAGGCCTCTCCTATCTCTTACCCCAACAAACCTAGTAGCCATCTGGCACCATACCATAGTTATTACCATATTACTGATTATATTCTCTATGCTTTGCTTTACATCCCCATAACTACTTTGTGGCAACCAATCTGTACTTCTTAACCCCTTCCCTTTTTTTCACCCCCCCCAACCCCCTCACATCTGGCAACCATCAACGTGTTCTCTGAACCTATGAGTTAGTTCCTGTTTTGTTAATTTTGGTCTTAGATTCTACATATAAGTAAAATCACATTGCATCTGTTTTTCTCTGTCTGATATACTCCACTCAGCACAACACCCTTCAGGTCCATCCATGCCACTGCAGATGGCAAGAACCCATTCCATTCTATGGCTGAGCAATATTCCATTGTATATATGTACCACCTACTCTTTTTCCATTCTTCCATTGATGGACACCCAGACTACCTCCACATCTTGGCTATTGTAAATAATGCTGCAATAAACATATGGATGCACA